TAAGTTTTGAAAATTGAAAAGAGAATAAAACAATACGGCGTATAATCTTACACAGGACAATTAAAAACATCCCTACCAAAAGTTTGAAAAAAATATTGGAGTCGTTTTTGAATAATTCTGTTTTTTAGTATTTTTGTGATGCACATATTTCACGCAATATTATACAAAAACGACTAAAAGTTTCAAAGAAATGTTCATGACGTCAATGAAAGAACTAATTAGGAAAAACAAATTTCATTCGAGGTAAAATCTCTATCTTCAATACTGTAGTTGTAAGGAGACGCCGAGAAAAATTCAAACTTTTGTAATCTTCAAAAATCAAAGTTAACAGTACACATCGAACCTATGCCATCTTGAGAGTATATTTTAATCATCTTCTTACAACAAATCCGAAGAAAAAACTGGAGCCATTTTTGAGAAAATATAAAAGATGGCCTTGGGGCGTCATTTAAAGTATCCCCAAATTTTAAACAATATTTTTCGATCTTGTAAAGCTTTGAGACTGGCCAGATTGACCAGTGAATATTCACTTTCGATAACATTCTAGGAATACTTGTAGTTTCGGCCCTAGTGTTGTTCACAGATGGGTAGACAGACGGACAGACTATATATATTAAAAAAAACAAACATCAAGGACTCAAGGATAGTTTGGATAGACTCAAGGATGTTTATAGTGAACGCGAGGGCCGTAGGCCCGAGACTTGGATCCGGGCGAGCGAAGCGAGAAAACTTGCCTTTGAAAGTAAATCGGCATTACAATGCGGCGGGAACAAAGCATATGAAGAGCGAACCATGAAAATCGCCTATACGTGTTTTATTAATTTCTATCAGAGCACGAAGAGTAATTAGGGCTTAAGGAGACACCCACCCCCCCGCCGCCACGCTTCTCTGAGGGTGTACCGTGTACCCTACTTTAACCTTATTTTTTAATTATCTTTTGGTTTTTAATATTTTGAAAAACACTCTTTAAATTTTGACGTATGTGAAGTCCCTGAGACATTTTCAAAAATGGTCCCTTTTTTTCATTAAATTTCTTGTTAGAATAGAGTGAAATACAATTTAATGATGCCGTAGGTCAGTTTTTCATTGTTAATGCGGAATTTTTTAAAATCGCAACCCTTACTAGTGCTACAGAATGGCACAGACTTTCTCGTACTAGCTTCCTAATATCTTTGGTCTAGCCTAACTTTTCGGCCTTGCCACATACTTTTGCCAGCTGCCATTAATCGCCGCTCAAACTATCCCTTCCCCCATTTTTCGGTTTTCTAATGGTAAAACAGAAATATTCCTTACAGAATATTAAGGAAGAGTAAAAACTCGTTCTATAAGGAAATTACGTTAAAATTTGGAGCGTTTCGCACAGCTTCGAGTGGCACCAGATCGATATCGCAACAATGCGGCATCAATAATTTAGAAGCTACTTGTTAAATGTCGAGAAGTTGGCGGTGATATGATCTAGCTGTTTTATGAAGTCGAACTGATGGTGTGACTCATAGGCCGAGCCAGTACTTCTGTTTGTCGCAGCAGTTCTTGTTATTACTTCTGAGAATGCCCGGTGAGGTAGGTTATATATCATTTAATATCAATTGATCCCTAAAAATATTACTGTTGTATCAAATAAAAGATAAACGAAACGCTATCGAAACTGATACCTTAGACGAAAGGCAACTCAAGAGTGAGCAGACAGAATTTTCGTAATTATTTTGATGTCAATTGCATGTATTCTAATTACTGTATTGATATTATAAGCCAAGTTAATGCACACAGATTTGACCACGCTGCGCTGACAAGAATGCGTTGCTCTTTTCTGTATAATTTGCTGCGAATACTGTACCAGTCAAATGTATTCCTGTTTGTTTCATTGGCTAAAATAAGAAATGATTGCTCTCTTTAACTATCAATTAATGCACATATGCATCATAGGAACTTTGTTTTACGTTATCAATTAATTGTTGCTGAGGTTTTAGTAGCGTACCAAATTCATTTCAATATTTCGTTTCCAATACCGCGAAAAAGTATGTGCAGTTGGATCCCACTAGGACCCATTATGATCTGAATTAATTTTTTGTGAAAAAATCAAAGGGAAGTGTTTGGGTGTTATTAAGAGGCTTTATTTGGAATACAAAACTTGGTTTTTTAATCGTTTTCAAAGACGTTTTTGAAATACAGCTTGTGACCATATGGTCACGCTAGGTCTTTTCACGAATAAAATCGCTGAAGTTTGAAAGAGCAAAATTATTCATTTTTCAGTCTTATAAACATGAACTATCAACCAGAAATACTCGTAATAAACACTAGAAATATAACAATATAAAAAATTAGTGAAAATAATAAATGGTATACAGTAAACAAAATTGAAAGGGATTAGCTCAAAGTGATAATTTGCAAAACAAGATATACAGAGACCAACTTTTCATTTTTTTGCGTTGTGTTCTTCCAACTGAAGTACAATTGTCCCCAGGACAACGCTTTCTTTTTCCGTTTGGGACTGGTTCATGATGGATGTTCAGATGTTTTATGGAATTTGGAAATATGTCAAGCATTTGTAATATTGGGGTCACAGCTTGGCCGTAATCTACTTCATACTGCTCATTCGCATTTGGAATTCGGCCTTGGTATATTTCAAAGTTTACTAAGTATCCTACCGTGGTGTTTGGACACCAAGCCATGTAACCAAAGTGAATAGGCTTTCCCCGGATGCACTGTTTACAACCGTGCCTGCGAAAATATTCAATCATACTCTCATCATAGCATAATTCGCGTTGAGGAATGAAATGGCTAATAAACCGTTCTTTTGCCGTATCCATGAATGGTCTAAGTTTTGACATTTTGTCATCTTTATTCAAATTGCCGTTGTCGGCACAGTGAAGAAGACGCATAATTTCAACAAATTTATCTCGTCTCATGGCATTATATACTAAAATATTTCTCATGTCACTTGAAGAATCCCAAAAATATCTTTTCCCAGGCAATTGAACATACTCAGACAAACTAAGAATGCAAATGAAACACTTCATTTTCTCCACAGTAATGCCCAGTTCCTCCAAAGAGCATATTGATTACTGAACCAAATAATCGAACATATCGAAGTCAAAAAAGTTCGAAAGCTTCTGTTTATGTGTACACTGAAATTAGGCTCTGGAAATAGAACATTATTTTCAGGGAAATCCTCGAGAGACCATTTACGTGAAACAGATAGTTTTCTTTCCGCGCAATGTCTTTGGTTTCTGGTCTCTATTTCTGAAGTGCATGGTTTATCATCTTCACCTTCAGCAATCACAATATCTCCAATAACTTCTCCATTTGCCAGAACCGCTTTAGCAGTTGCTTGCAATTGCTTACTACACAAATTGTCCAGAAAACCTGATAATTCATCTCCAGAATCATATGATTCCTCTCGCACCTCTGGGGATTCCATAATTACCTCTGTAACATCTTCCAATAGATCTATTATTTCCATCAGTCAGCGACCTGAAATTCGAAAGAAGCAAACAGACCCTAACTTGTCTCATGCCTAGCGTGACCATATGGTCACAACAGAATTTAACTTTGAATTCCTCCCTATGTAAACTGATTTACCATTTAAAGTTATATTTTATGACCCATACGTTCAACTATAGAAATAATACAGAAAAATTGAAGAAACATTTCGATTTCGTACATAAAACGCTCACCTCTTATTACGCGCTATCATCTCAACACCTCACCTAAAACACCGCCTGAAAGCTATGCACTTAAACAAATGAAAGTCGACAAAAACGCAATAATATCAACATTGATAAGTACAATAATGTTTTAGATACCAATTATTTTACTTTTAAGTTTAATACACAATATGCCGAAAACACCAGACGCCAATAAGCGGCATGTTGTGCAGCGTGACCGTATGGTCACGCTAGGTCATAATGGGTTAAAATTGCACCTATTACATGAAAACTACTAAAAGTTGAAAGGAAAAAAAAAGTTCACGACCTTAACAAAAAAACTAAATATAGGGAACACATTTCATTTGAAGGAAAAATCCAAATTCGTAGTTGAAGGAAGAAAATTCAACATTTAGCAATTTTCAAAAATACGGAATTAACAGTGAAAATCGAACCAAAATGACACTTTTAATGTGTGAATTTCGCTCTGTTCTTACAAGAAATTTAAAGTACAAATTTAGATATAATTTGAAAATACACCTAAGGCTTCATGTAAAATACCCTGAAATGTTTAAGAAGGTTTCTCAAAATTACAGAGCTTCGAGTCTAGCTAGTTCGACGGCAATATCCATTTTGGGGAAAAAGTCTAATCAAAATGGTTGAAGTGTTAGTGGTGTTCACAGATGAACGGATGTTTTGAAAAACTCTTTTGGATTCAGTGTCTCCAAAACTCATTTCCGTTGAAAATTTATTTTCTGCAGCATTACATAACTTTCTCTATTCTACATATATTACTCCTTAGGCGCCATCCATAAATTACCATATTTTGAATGGGGTCCCCCCTGTAACGTGCACCTGAATCCCCTACTTATAACTGTGTAATGCTTGCGACAAGCCTCCCCCCTTCAATCAATATATCATTGATGAAAAATATTTTCATTTATTGTAACAATTTATAGAATATTACTTCAATTTATTATATTTTTTTATTTAATTTGTTAATGTTTTAATATAGGACTGTATAAAAGGAATTATTTCAGCAAATGGTGAAAGATTTAAAAAACAATATCAGTATTAAGTAACACTAAAGTATGTCCCCACCCTTCCCCTATGTATGCATGATCTTGTGATCACGTCTGGCCTCACCAGGTGGCCGTCACAATTGCTGTATGCAAATGACTCCCCAAGACTACAACAATGCTTTGAGCCTGGGAATTTCCTGAGGAACACTGTTTTTTTACCCCTAACCTGAAATAAAAATTTGCATATCCGGGTGAGTTAAGGGAAAGAAAATGTGGCTTCCTGAAAAAAAGGACTGTTTGGGAGCACTGTTATAGTGTGCTGAAATCTGAAAATGTCAGTGGCTGGAAATGGAAAAGATATCACAAGGAAAATTTCTCTTGAGCAGAACAGATAAATTTTACTTACTGCATGTACAGCAACTTTATACAGAATTCTGCATGTACACTTCTACCCAAAATCCCAATCCCACAAAAAACCAATATGTACATCAAGTAAATGTTTAACATGATTTTGTCAGTCTAGTAGCAGCAACCTTCAGGTTTACTGTTTCACAACAACAATAAATAAATTGAGCTAGAGTCATTTCTGTATTTGCTGGAGCCCCTGCCTTGTGCATATATTCTAGTGATTTATGGAGACAATCTCCCAATTCTGAAATCCCAAACCTTCAGGAGCTTTTCCAGTAAGTAACCTTAACAATTAAGTACATTAAAGAATTGGTGTTGATGCAGGCTACAATGCCTTAAAATGCATGAAAGTCCATCAGTAAAATACACTGCTCAAATACTGAGCATCCAACAAGGACATTCTCTTGTGCTTAGCCACTAAGTTTAACGTCAAACAGCAGCTCTTGCTCACCGTGACACTTAAATTGACATAACATTTGTTGAATCACAACTGCACTTCCATTTTAACTTGATATGCATGCACATACATATAGTGCACACATCATACAAATACACACATATGCATTATCACACTTTCTCACATTTACATTCACAGTCATTCACAAACTACACAACCTTTGTGGAAGACTGCACAGAAGTGTAACTCCAGCAGCCTATTATTAATGAGAAGAACAATGAAAAGAAAATTCAAAAACTGATTGAACTACCCAACGCATTTAAGATTTTTGAATTGAAAGAGGACTTATAACAAGTCAGCCCACCCAGACGGCAGCGTCAGGGTCCCACATGGGCTGTGGCAAGCATGGTGGGGGAGGTGAATGCACAGTGGCTGGCATCACGCTGGTGGTGGGTGGCGTACCAGGCCAACAGAAGTGCAAAAGGAAGCGCCTGAGGCCACAATGCTGCCTCGGTTGGCAGGGGCAGCCGCAAAGGGCATTCGACTGCACCTCCAGGTTGGAAAATCATCTTGCTTCCCAATCCGTTCCAGCAGCAGACTCCTCTGGCTTCACAATTTGATATGTGATGAGGTACTCTGGGTATGCCTATATAACAATAAATAAATAAATTAAAAAAACAAGATGTAACATCCCGTAATAACTCCAAAATACCAAAATCACTACAAAATGTCTCAGACACACAGTTAATTATTTTGTTTCTTAGAATACTCTTAGTGCAAGAAGAGTATTTATTGTTCTCTTTAGCAAATTGTGAGGAAGTCATTAATTATTTCTGTCCAAGAGACATGTTAGCATTATACAAGAAGCTAAGAAATAGTTCTTGTGAGTTTAAAAGTGAACCCTGAAGCCATGTTTGTCTTCGATTTTCACTCAACAATTGTTGATGGTATAAGTAGTTTGGGTGAGCTTCTGGTGGGAATCATGATCAAGGAAAACAAAGTTGCTGTGGCAAAAATGGTTTGCAAAATTAATGCAAAATTAATTGCAAAGAGATGTGTGAAATTGGCACACTCATTTTTCAGTACAATCACATGAAATACACCATCATTTTTCCTACCACATTCAACACTTTGAATCAAAAGTTTTGGCCAAATTCCAATACAGCACCCCCACATGCAAATTACATAATTTAGATTGTAAGTAGTAGTAGATTGTTGTACCAGTTTGTCCAGTGTTTCTCATCCATTAATTAATTTTGTTGCACTTGGATACAGCCTTAAATAAAAAATGAAGTTCAATGCTAAATTCCACATGCTTATTTCAAAATTACAAACATGGAATCATTTGTCCAAGTTTTATCAAGCTTTGCTCAACCATTAATTAACTTTGCTCAACTGATATAAAGCACTGAATCGGAAATACAAAGTTATTTCCAAACTGCACATACACGCTTTAAAGTTACATGAAAAATAGTGTAATATATTCAAAAGTGGTGTACTTGCAAAAGTTGGGGGGTATGTTTAGGAAGTGTGAGGAAGTAAAGAAGGGTTGGATTATTACAAGAAAAGATAAGTAATATGACAAGTGGAGATAGGCTAGGAGTGGTTAATTAAGAAACAATAGATCGGTCTTTTATTATTTTTTTGTATGATATCACTAGAGCATGGAAGTTTGGCAAAATGCCTTTTACTTTCTCATATACATACATGCTATATATGTAAATGCTATTTAAGGGCATTGGTCAGCAAAATATGACCTGAGGGAGCAAGGAAGAGCTAGGAAAGATAAAAGGTTCATAAACAGTTGAAAGGCACAAATTGTAAATAACACTTGTTGTGATGTAATGGTGTGAAAGCCACTGTCTCTCTTATAGAAAGAAGTCTCAGTTGAATTACACTGCCCAGACTTTGGTCACTATTTGTTTTTGATGTAGCATCCACTCTGGCCTACTCAGAGCTTCAGCCAAGCCTAACTGACTGAAAGACAACAAAGCACTGTTTCAAAAATATATACAGGTCTGTAGTGGAACAGACACTTACATTACTCAGAGATTGGATGTGATTTTGGGCTTGTGCCACAGGCAAAGGAAGAAGGAACTAATGTGGCAAGCTCTGCAAATAAATTCTACATTAGAATCCTGTGCAAAGCACAGAACCACAAGTTTTATCAAAGCTAGCAGCAAAGTGATTGAAGAAATTAGAGCAATTTTTTATGTGATAATATTTATACTTGGTAATGGGCTACTTATTAATTAATAACTTGAGATCTTCATATCTGTAAAAACATAAAAAAATTCAGGGAAAAACAACAACACAACAACAACATAGAAAATGCTGTTTCCACCTCACCTGTTCTCCACGATACACAACATACTCAGGGAAGTTGAGTCCCCCAGCACTGGGTCTACCCATGACTGAATGATGTCCAGGAGGAGCATGTGCCATCTTCATGGCACTGAATTGAAGGAAGGATTTGCCAAGGGTAACTCTGCATAGTAGCAGGTGCCTGAAACATTTAAGTAATTTGTTTATTAGAAGAAAAAAAAGGGCAGCAGTTCAATAAATAAGTTACTATAACAAAAAACACTTCAATTTTCCTGCCTTAGGCCATGAAATGTTTAATTTAAGAATGATATATGTGGAATACACCTGATAAGGCAGGTAGTGCCACCTGATTTAACGTTACATACCTTTGCAATAAGGTAGTAAGTATGTACTACTCACTAGTGAAATACTCAACCATTTATTACATTTATAAATTAACAATAGATGCTTGTAATTCCCAAAAGAGCATTTAAATAATTATTTTTAAATAGTTAAAAGAAGTGGTGATTTTTTGCTCTAAAAATACAATGTTTAATATGAAAGTTATGTTGACTTTGGCTCCAGCACTTTCCGGATTGAATACCAGTCCAAATTAGTTGCATCAAAAGTGAATTATCATCAATAGTTTAAAGGTTGTGAGTGATACAAAATTTGAAATTAGTGTGGTTTTTGATCAATCCTGAAGAGAATCAGATCAGATAATAGCATGTACCCTACTCAGAGTTGGTTCTGTTTCAGTATGTTGCAAGTGAGGTATGTTGCATCATTTGATTGCTTAAAAAAATTACTGTTTTAAATAAAAGAAAAAAATCACTTTGAACATAAAACATCTTCCATATCTTAAAAAAGTTATGTCTGCCAAACTTTTGTCATAAGAGCCTGTAGTAATTTAAACTTCCTTTTTCCCTACCATCTTGAAGGACGGAGATTTGACATCATTTAAAGTATTTTTTGGGGTACTAGCCATGGTCAATCGAACAAACATACTACCTTAAGTAAAGAAACTAGCGAGTGAAATGCCATGCGGCACATACTACTACTTCCTTGAGCACGTACTATAGAAAAACTGCAGTAGAAACACTACTACCTGGTTAATTGTATGTTTTGGAACTTGAGATCTGCGAAGGCACAAGGATTAAATATCCCAAGCGTGCACTAAGGATTTGCATCACTGATGATTAGGGAAAAGCTACTGATTTTTTTCAAAGAACATAATTTTGTCATAGTATAAAATTATTTAGTAAAAACAATGAAATGAGGTGAGGATATAAAACATTATAAAAATATGACTAGCAGGGGAGATAAGACAGCTCCCTATTACTGCAGCAAACAATTGGATAATACTTGCATGGGCAGGCTGCGCACACATGTGCGATTTCTGGAAACACAGGACTTAAGTATTCAAAAACACATGCTGTTGTATTCTGAGAACAGGGGGAGTCCAAATGACTACAGCAAATGCCACAGAAACTACATTCAATTCCTTCATAGGACATGGCAACAATCACAAATACCACAAAATTTCACCTAGTGGGCCTTTCACGGCCTCTAAATCACTGTGTATAGTCCCCTAGTAAGGAACCTATTACCTGATAACAGAGGGGGAAAAAAAGCGGTGCGCCCCCCCCCCACTTACCCACTCTCTCTCTCTCTCTCTCTCTCTCTCTCTCTCTCTCACACACACACTCTCTCTCTCACACACACACACACTCACTCTCCACACACACAACACACTCTCTCTCCCACACACACACACTCTCTCTCTTACACACACCACACTCTCTCTCTCTCTCACACCACATCTCTCTCACACACACACTACTCTCTCTCACACACACACTCTCTCTCTCTCAGCACACCACACACTCTCTCTCTCCTCACACACAACAACACTCTCTCCCCTCTCACACACACACACACTCTTCTCTCACACACACACTTACTGAAATTTAGTGTTAAAGAAATCGAATACTTATTATAATGAATTATTAAAACAAGAGTTTGATTTTGTACCAATACTTTTGATGAATTATCCCAAGTAACATATAAGGAGCTACACTCGCCATGTTTCATACCAAGGTGATGCCCCCAGACAAATCGTTGATGGTTCACTTGCACACATGGGGTGCTTGTCAGGTCCTTACAACATTTTGGGGGCTGACAGGAAGTTTGACTTGGTAGACTTTTATCTACTTTTGAATCAAAATATATTTTCTCATACTCCTCAATTACTACAAATGTCACTAACAAATCAAACAAATCACATGCAACAATGTGATCTCCATAATACACATTTCATTTTGTGTTCTCTAAATCCGAAATATTTATGTGCATTGTCTATTACGTAGTCACCAAACTTATGAAATTTCTGACCGACCATACCTTTCTTATATCTGCCAATACTCATGCTTACATTTCTAGTAAATACAAAATCAAATTTAATTAAATTGTTTATACTATAAAGAACACATGTGACACTGCTATCTCCCAAAACGTTCCCTGTGAACCACTGGTAGCTTGCGATAGATAGTTTGACAATCTCAGATCTACTGGTCTGTAAAACAGCTGACCAATAAGTTAGATGATATTAGATTTATTTGATAATAAAATTTTGAGATGTTGCAGATCCATTTTGTTCTGGCATCTTTGAAACGTCTCCAGAAGTCATTAAGTTTGTAAGACTCCTTTACTCTTACTTCACAATACAAAATCTATAAAGATCTAGTATCCATCTTTTTAAATGTTACATGCTGCAGATAAAAGGACTCCAGTGTGATGGAGTGATTACAATAAATTTCAGTACAATTTTCAAACATTGCTTCACTTGACATTTCAATTTTCTTTTGTATATTTGATATTTATTAAATAGAGAAACTTCAATACTTGTCTTTCAAAGAAGCAATGGAAGTTAACAATGAAAGAAAACAATTATAACACAGCAAAAAACTGGCTAAATGTAAGTTTCAACATACCGATGACATATGTAGCAAGACCGATCTTTGTGCATTGGGCATCCTGTACCCCCACCAATTCCATAGACATACTGATTGCTTTTAGATGAATGCTCTGCAAAGTAGATTCCTGAAATGAAAAAATGTATTCCAGAAACTTATCACACTAAATTAATTGTATACAATACATTTAATTGAGCACATAGCAATAACATTCAGTTTCATCATATAGAGAAAACAACAACAAAAAACACAACTCATAGAATAATAACTTTCCTAATTTCTGATTTAATACACTTTACTAACCTGCCCCAAACATTCCACCAATGTATGCATGGCGCTCATCAAAACCCTTCTGAACAATAGCATTAATAAAAGGCGACCCATGAAATAACATTCTTTCATTGGCTTGATTGGTATTTTCCTCTGCTACTTCATGTCGCCTATGTGCATATCGTTCCCAAAGTTTACGGTTTTGAACCTTTTGAATCTGAAACGCACCACAAACAGGAACAAGAATAATAGAAAACAGTTATAAAACAATTGTGAAAAAAAGTTTCAGATCAACACACAAGATGACGAGTATAACAAATTTTGTCAAGTATTAGAATAGTTTTCATTAAACAAAGATATACGTCCAAATGGACACATTAGGCAAATGAGGTTCTATGCAGTCCTGAACAAAATAAGGTACATTAACAAACATTACTTAAATTTGATGATGATACAAGTTTTATACCAGAAGAAAAAAATTACATTTGCATTACGGCACATTAGTTAATTGGTACACACAAAACTAGTGGTGATGTAAAACATAATTTCTCACATTGTTTCTAAATGCTACGCAACAACTCCCAACTCCTCCAGTTTGTTCAGATCAATCATGGAATATCAATTTTGAAGAAAATCAGCTAAACGTTTTTGGTGCTAGAGTTAACCACAGACGGACAAACAAATAAATGAACAGACAGACATTGATGACAATTGATGTTTCAGTATCAAGATCCAACAAAACATGGCTACACCAAATGATAGAGGACTGCCTCCCCCCCCCCTAATTTAACAACAGGATTTATTCCCCTTTTTCATTATTAGGGCACGGCAATAAGGATTCGCCTAGAGAAATTTCGACGTTCTCTGGCCCACAATTACGTAACTTTCTTTTCTTACCAAGAATTCATAAGGCGAGAAAGTAATAATAATAATAATAATAATAATAATAATAATAATAATAATTATTATTATTATTATTTCAGAACCGTTAGGGTTATCTAAGTTGGTCACATGGCTGGTGTTTATAATGTATTTAATTTAAATTTTAAGTCGATAAATTCATTAGTTTATTTAAATCAATTCATACACATGCACAGAAGCTCAACAAATGAATTGAAGTACGAGATGTTTTAAAAATTGCAAAAGAAAGTTGAAAAAAATGTTTAAAAGTTAAAAATTGCAGAAGCACATACAGACACGTCCAGATTATTTATATATGTATTGGTTGCACATGCGAGTGGAATTGCTTCAAACGATTTTCAATTAAGTTTCTTGAATCGTCAATAGTTCTCTACAACATATTCATTAAATTAAAATCATCGTGTGGGATTAAATTCTAACCGGTGACCTCTTTGTTTCAAGTGAAGAACCTGAACACATCATTTAACAACCTCGGTCATCCAGCAAGCCGAGACCTCTACTCTTCCATATTACTTAAGTCAATTGTTTCTGTTCTAACATGACAGAGCTGAGAAAATGTAGAAGGAAAAAAATTTGTAGAGGACTTTTTTTAAAGAGCTAATTTTGTACAACTGACTGTCTGAGGCAAAAATCTCGACCTACAATTTAAAAAAAATTTCTTTGTAATTTTCCAAAAACTTGAAATACTTGAAAATGCGACTAGCATCATATTTTTTTAATGTCCTTTATTACAAAAGTGAAGAAAATTTAATCAGAAAATTGGGAGAAGGTTTTGATGAAGAAGAAGAAGAAAAAAAAAGAAAAGAAAAAAAAAATTATAATAATATATATAATAAATATATATAAAGGTGATAATTTTAAGTTCAAATTGCGCAAAAACTACTCATTTTCTCAAAAACTTATACATGACCTTTTTTAAAGAGCTAATTTTGTGTAACACACTTTGTTTGAGGCAAAAATTTCTATTTTCAATTTTGTGATCTTAAAATTTGTTTGTGCATTTTTTGAAAAATCCGGCATGTCAACGACAATGAGATCAGCACCATTCTCTTAAATGTCCTTTGCACTATTCCAGAAACAAGTTTAAACAAAAAATTTGGGGCTGTTTTTGAGAAAGTTTTGAAAATGTTTTTGAGGCTTTTGGTGAAGTACCTTCAAAAATTACAATAGTCATTTGAAACTTCCAAAGCCATGAGTTCATTGAGATCGAATATCAAGAAGACATTTGAAGAAAATCGGCTGAAAGGTTTAGGTGCTTGCATCAAGACAGACATTTTGCCGCCAATATTTTAGTGACAAGAACCAACAAAATATGAATTCTGGCTACACCATGAGTTAGAGGATTTTTTTCCCTTAATTTGTGAATAGGATTTATCCATTCTTTTTTCACCACAGCCTGGTAATAAGAGATTTCTGGGCAAAATTCGCCGTTTTATAGCACATTATTACATAACTTTCTCTTCTTACAAAGAATTCATAAGGAGAAAAAGAAATGTTTCTATAAAATAACAAGAACTCTGTAACTTTGAACCTTTTTGAAGCCACTGAAAAAATTCTACTCTACTATAAGATCTAAATTAGGGTTAAAGAAAACAAATCCACAGTGTTGCCAAAAGGTTTGGGGACACCAGAAAATATCAATTTCTGTACAGTTGTCCCTAATCTACTCATATTTCCTAATTACATAGTATTCATCATTAAAACTAATTTTTGGGGTGAAAATTCCAACACAGTATGCTAATACTTTTCAAGAAATACTTTCAGCTTTCTTGGGAAAAACAACTACAACTATTATGAGACACAAAAATATTTATTTATCACAAAACTTCAAATCATACCAAATTAATTTCTGGTACATTATTTTGGCGTTATATATAGAATAAAAAAAATATCATACAATAACCATTAACAAACTTTTTTTCTGAAGTTTGACAAGTTATTAAGAAAAATTACATTCATAAGTAGCATTAAAGCATAGCTTTTAGCATTAAAAAAAGGTCATTGGCAGGTTATTACTAGCAAATTAGATAGTTGGCAGAAATCACAACAAAGTATGATTTCAACAAAATGACTTTTTTTGCCAGCAATGATCATTCATTAATAATCAACAGTAAAGAAACTATTTTGTTGTGTTCCTAAACTTTTTGTCAACACTGCAATAGAAAATTAATTATGTATTTACTAGTATTGTGGGCATCACAAATGAACACTGATTTAGTTTCCTTGACTTTAATCTGTGAATTTAAGTAATACAGCACCTACTGAAGATATAAAAGAAAAATAAAATAATATAAAAGAAAACTACACTTCACAAACTCAATAATCTAAAATACTCACCCGCACAATATTGTAACGACTGAAAACACCACCCGAATGACCATTATCACGATGCTCACGGATTGTAGACTGCATTTCCTCTTCCACAGCAAGAAACTCCTTATCTTCGCTCAGCAGATCTACTAGTAAAGTACCAGGAGTCGAAGGTGGGAGCCACAAAGAACCTGAAAGCAAACAATCTTTTTTATGATCATCCAAAAACTGTTCAGTGAAATGGTATGACAGTGGTGTCCAACCAGTTTGGGGACAGGATTTACTGTAATCAACTAGTGATGCAACAGCATATTTTCCTGGTATTAATAGAAACTATAACAAAAATTATTGTTTTGCCCTAACACTTCATCTAACACTCAAACAATATAACTGAAGATTACAGAAAAAGTTATACAAAAGTATACAGAAGCGAGCAACGCACCCTTGCTAGAGTAGCATTGTCAAAACCAGGGCCTTTTAACTCCCATATAATGTGGTGGAAACCATTAAGGTGGCACACTCTGCTGCAGCACCTTCTTACATGAACTGCTGTCAACAACACTTAAAATGTGCATGGGTGCTGTGCGAGTTTGTGGGTCGCTAGCAGGTTCTTAATGTTACAAAAGATAGCGCAGATATTCACACTTTCTTCAGGGGGTTTCTTATATGTGTACATTACGAATAATTGAACTTTTCCTATTCCTCACAAACTAGCCAAGTTGGCGAGCCTAACTTGCAGCTGTACCTGTTGACACTAGCATCTTCTAGAGTATCACCCTTAAGTTTTGTCCCCTGTTTTGATAGAGAGTTGTGCAATTCTTTTGTCATATATATTTGGTGAATATTTTCTTATCAATTCTTGGCAAAAACACTTATTTTCATCTGTATTCAGATTACAACTTATTTATGGATTAGTCATAGTATATCATATTCAATTGATAAATAACTAACTCTAATATTAATAAACTAATTAAATTACAAGTGTTCTATGATTTGTAGTACTAAGGTCATTTACAAGTAAAACCCAGTTTCTACATTCCCACATTTTACGTTTTCCTGCCTTTTATGTAATTTTTCGTTGGTCCTATCGAAAAGCCTATATTTACAGTGTATTCTCTTCTCGCAATTTACAACTTTAATATCAAGTGCTTCCCATCTTTTACACATCTTTTTTCCGTAAATTTTTTTTAGGCAAAACTGATTTTTGATTCGATTTTGGCGTCAGCCATTTCCTATTTCCGGGTATATCGCAAGTTTTGTAGACATAATGATAGTCTCGTTGAGTCTCGTCTCGTAGTCAACTTGCTGTGTTTGGTGTGTTTGTGTGAGAGGTGATCGTTGAAGATAAGTAGTTGAAGATAGTGGAAACAATAATATGGAGAAGCGTCATGTTGATGCGCATATGGGAACACGTGTTTAGTAAGGAGCTTCAACGTTGAGCACTCTAATTAAAAACAGAAACAGTGTGGTACTATGTCAACAAAAAGAAAATACGTAAGATCATTATCTTATGATGAGTTGGACAAACTTGTGGCGGAGTGGTTTACTGCCACGAGGGCATCGGGTATTCCGCTTGATGGCAACCTTTTGCAAGTAAAAGCCCTCCAATTTGCAGCAAAGTTAGAGATTACAGAACTTCACAGCATTAAATGGATGGATCGACTCGCTTCAAGACCCGCCATAATATTGTTTATAACCAGTGTGGCGGGGAAAGTCGAAGTGGTGTGGGGATACATAACCGAATGGAAACAGAACTTGCCTCAATTATCCACAACTACGAAAGAAAAAACGTTTTCAATGTTGATGAAACAGGACTTTTTATAACATTCTGCCAAGTAAGACATTGTGTTTTAAAGGTGAAAAGTGACACGGTGGGAAGTTCAACAAACTGAGGGTAACTGTTTTGTTAATAGTGAATGCTGATGGCTCTGAAAAATTACCACCAATAGTAATAGGAAAATTTAAAAAACCAAGGTGTTTTAAATACATCAAAAATTTACTAACCAAATATGAGGCAAACAGTAGTGCATGGATGACCAGCATTGTCTTCTCCACCATGCATGCTCTGGATGCGAAAACAGGAGCAAGAAATCGGAAAGTGTTATTACTGTTAGATAGATGTCCACCCTATAGATCTGCAGCTCAGAAATATAAAATTAGTATTCTTTCCCCCGAATTGTACTAGTGTTCTTCAACATATGGTTTGAGCATAATTCATTGTTTTAAATGGAAATACAGACAAATGATGGTTGAAAAAGCTTTGTTTATGAATGATAATGGATTCAAAGTTGATGACCATATCAATTCTTGATGCCATGTACTATGTGGCCAAAGCACGGTTAAGTGTAACTCCCGAGACAATTTCCAACTGCTTCCATAAGGCTGGTGTCAAGTTTGTAGAAGACAAGAATTTTGAACAGGAACATTTGGTGGAGCCTAATCACTGGTCAGTTACGACTTCAGTATTACCTACTGTGGAGGAGATAATTTCCAACCACCTGGACCAAGAAGTTAGCGAAGACAGATCCAGAACCTGTTGTCCTGACAAAGCAATGGATGCAATCACTACTTTGAGCAGAATTCAGAACTACAGAATTCATTGAGAGCAGATCAGATGGTGAGGATGCATTCAAAGCATTGTATAGAGTGAAGAGGCAGGTAGCAGAAATTCATTTACAGAAAAAACAAAAACAAATGACAATTTTAGATTTTTAAAAATAGTTTAAGTGCAATTTGTAAATTATTAAAAGTGTAATATGAGTAATTTAATAATGTAAACAAGTCCTTGTAATAAATAATGTAAGTCATGCTTAGCCTATTATTTTTTAACTTTCCTGCACTTTACACTTTTTCCCATCGGTACCCTGAAAAGTGTAAAAAAGGGTTTTTACTGTATTACTGCTTTATTATATATTGACATCGTCTCAAACAAAGCACAGGAAAATAAAAAAAAAAAAATAATGTGATTAAGTGGGTTTTATTAATTCTTTTTTTTTTTATGAACTAGTATCTGTGGCCAAACTCGTTTAATATAATAAACATTTAAAATAGTAAAATAAACTCTTGAAGTTCTATTGCTGAGAAACAACAATGTGTTCATTATTTTAAAATATAATTAAACCCTTAAGTTTTAGAAACCATTGTCTTTTGAGTAACGTTTGTAGAAATGTGATTTGTAGAAACATTTCTATGAAGAAAAAACAAAATTGAAGAATATAGGGGTGTTCACTGGTAGTCTCAGGTTTTAAGAGTGCATTGTTGCTGAACAGTTAAAACATTTTAATTTTGTATCTCAACCATGTAGGCATCATGGACAACAATATCTCAAAATATTTTAAAGTTTCAAGGAGTTATATCATAAAATCTACTCTTTTGCATGGAATAACCTACCTAAGTCGGTTACCTGCATCAAGATAAGAATGTTGGAATGGATTGGCCACATTTATTTATTTATAATCTGATGGACTTTTGCCCATTACACAAATATTTTAAAAAATATCACTCGTGAATATCATGATATCTGAATTGTGTAGCAAATCAGCAGTGGATGCCAAAAATACGACCGCAAACATAATTATGTACTATAGATTCATACAACATTTTTATTGTCTTTACATCTTTTATTGTTAGGTCGACATTTGTTTCATGACCTAGCTCAAAAATGTAGCTTTTTGACAGCAAAACGAGTTTGTGGATCTGTGATGCCAAAAAAAGAAATTATTATTTCTTGTCCCTAAAAGTAGTAATTTACTTTCTTAAATACCTACTGTGGATACACTATCCAGGATTTAGAAGCAGAAAGGAATTTAACTTCGCTGATTATTGACAAATCTAGAGAATTGAAATAATTAATAAGAGTAGAGATTCCAGAAGAAAAATGATCTAGTTAGCAGGAAAAAACAGCTTATTCAAGGGGTCAAAGACATCATTATTAAAACCACAACTAACTGATTGTATCACCATAATACATAATGATAAATGCAATTTATATCATTAAATTACTGCAAGAAATTTGCTTTTGCCTCCCTCCAAATGATTTATCACAATTTGGAGAAAATTCAATGAAACTACCTTAAGTAAGGGATAAATTTCCCATTAGTTATTCAAAGCAGTTGTAGGCAACCAAAAAAAGTATACATTTCATCCTGCTTAAGTTTTATTAATTTCTATTATTTTTCACAGAATGTCAAGCCCTTGTCAATTAATACAAAGACAAAGGTTGAACACCACTGCTGTAAAGCTAAAATAATATATTTTTCTTTACCTGCATTTGCACAGAGTTTGTCTATTCCTTTGAGAAGTTTGTGCCTGTAACCATAAGCACTCACTCCCACTTGTTTGAGATCTTCATGACCCATCTCTGCCAAAATATCCAAAGTAATCTGTTCACGTTCAAACAGTTCTAGGAGATGTTCCAATCCCAAACTGCAGAATAAATGTAGTATTATGAGCTCTTGTGTGTCTAGTAAGTTCTCACCTGCCATAATCTCCATTTCTCTATAGTAATGTAAATAATTTTTTACTTTTTACTATACATTTTCATCGTTCTATTTTAGAGCCTAATAATGGGGACAACAATCCCCGAAACCATTGCACATTAAGGTTATGAAATTAATTATGATTACATTTGTCTGTCTATAAATATGGACCCTAATTACTTCACAATATATAATTGACAACAAAGACTAAATAGGTGGAAAGAAGAGACACTAATGAATTAATTTCTAGAATAAAATAAATGAAAATTGCCCCAACCTACTGCCTGCTCTTATATTGCAACACACACAGATCTGTAATATGAGAAAAAATAAAATTTGTTTTAAGAAGTTTTCATTCTCCAATGCAATTTTTTCTAAATTATTCTTTCATATTTTAAGATGCAATTCAGAGAAAGCTTTGAATGAATGACTATGCTACACTGCATCCTTTTGTGCTATACTTGAGAGAAAAGTTCATACAATGTTAAGAAATAGAAAGTAACTGATTGAGAAAAGATGTTAACTGTCCACAGAGATGATGTATGTATTTGATATGACACACATGTTCATATATCACAAGAAAATAGTGCTGTCAAATTTATCTGATATGTTTTGTCAAAGGAACTACATACACAACTAAGTGTGAAAAAGCTTCTCTGCCACCCATTTTGTTCTCTGTTGGAAATCACTAGTGATATATGCATCAGGTTGATACCTATTGCATTGAAACTGTAGAGGAAAATATTTTACCTGGACAAGAAAGATGCTAATGATGTTACGGTTGTGGCCATTTCTGGCACAGCCCCTTCAGGCTTCAGGGGTTCTGAAGCACAACACCCTTCAGCAGCTGGCATTGGAGATAGGCAACCCCTTGCCACTGGCACACACAGGGTCATTGACGCTCCAGAGGGCATAATGACTGTTTCAGTGGTAGCAGGAGGTGTGAGAGCAATGGTAAGTGGAGGAGCAGCAGCAATGGAAGGAGGCCGCGATGGAGGTGCAGATGCAGGAGCTGGAGCAGTGGGTACTCCCTGCTGCGATGCCATCGCATCTTGCAATAGGCAGCGGACATCATCTGCTGATGCCAAATCCAGTGGAGTCTGACCTTCTTGATTTTTTAAGAAAGGATCAGCCCCATGAGCAAGCTGAAATTCAGAAATGGTATCATGTATGACCAAAGCAGAAACTTGTATTGCAACTATTTAATACAATATAAGATACTTGAAGAGATCATAGTCTTTAATGTAATAATACATTTTCTGTGACAATTATTGCATTTTATAAATTTCATGTTTTTCAGGGGACTGAAGAGAAAAAAAGTGTTTAAGTGAGAAAAACCAAAAATGCATGACTGAAAATGAGAAAAATTTAGGTGCAAAATAAAAACTCAATATTTTGATAACACAACTATATTAGACAAAAAATATACACATATTTGCATGGCATAATATTTTCAGGAAGGGAAGTTCTCATTCTTGAAAAGCACCTTCAGTTTGCTTTTCTCTGCATCTAAGATATAAATTAATTCTCCCTCAACATAAGACAACTGCCCTGTACAGGGTAACCACACATTTCCAGGAACAAGTTTCCCCAACTTTTCCTGGTTTTCTACAGCAGTTTTTAATGATTTTTACTGATAAGATTTGGAATTTCACACTACTTCAAGAAAATATTAACCCATTCGAGGCCAAAGACAGGCACTGCTTTTCCTCTGCATACCCATGTCTTTCTGCCTGAAGACAGGCAGTACACATCCTCTATTTTTTTTTATGTACTTTCCACGTTTTTCCGATAGATGGCTATCACTTTTTTACAACGGAATTTGACGTGAAGTTTGTAGAAGTTCCTTGCACATAACTGATTGTTTTCTATAGATATTATGTTCTCTTTGAAAGTTTTTGTAAACTTACGGAATCATGCCATTAACTGCTATCATGACTGCCACGAGGCGATCAGAATGAAATATTTGTGGAATCGGAATAGCTTGCTGAGGGGTGACCAATGTTATGAATGACAGTGATGATGAATTGTATAATGATGGCGTGAATAGTGACATAATTATTGAAAGAAGTCAAAATTTATCACACTGAAAATAAATATTAACATTTCATTTTTAATAATTTTTCATGCAAATTAATTAATTACAAACATATAGTGAAAGAGCTATCTTGAAAAATTGAGGAAAAGAATTTTGGTAAGACAATATAATAATTAATATATACATACACACAATATGATATATTATTTGATTCAGTCACCAT